CCAGTCCTTCCTGTCCTTCGCTGCCTCCCTGAGTTTGCTCAGTTTCATGCTCATTGCTTCAGTGATGCTATCTAACCATTAATAAAACATTAGGACTGGCCAAACATTCAAAGGGTTCTGACTTCAGAACCTTCAGGTACGGTCTTGCCTGCCCCTCCATGACACAGGTGTGTGTGTCTGTGTGTCTGTGTGGTTTACTCACTACAAGGATTCCTGTGAAAGTTACTATGCTGAAGAATCTGCCTTCTTTGGAAATGACCTTGAAACCCTTCCTCCTTGTCTTGATAACATCAGCCATTTATGAATATGGGCCAGAGATCAGGGAGTTGCTTTATTCTACAAAGAAAAGATAGCATGGAAAGAAGGACAAGGGTAGAAGATACATGTTATTTGCTTGAATTTCACATTTAGAAATCTATAAAACCTTAATCTTAGTTATTATTCAGATTCACCCTTCTCAAAATTTTGCAATGCAGTTCACCAATAAAAGAAGTGTATTAGGGAATCATGTATAGGCATTTATATATGCATAAAAGTAATATATAAAAACACATGTTTGGAGAAATATGCACCAATGTGCACATATTTTACTGCAGACTTTAAAAAAAAAACTTCACTGACAGACTGAACTTAGCAGATTTGCAAAAATTGCAAAACTGCTATTGACAGATATGCCCATTCCTTGTTCTAATTAGTTTGGCAAACCTTGTCAAAATTGAAGTGTGGGTGATTAGTCAAAGCTCAGTAGACAAGCATTGCACCTGTTCTCATAAAGTAAAGAGCAGAATAGGTTAAAAAAGGATTCAGAACAGGATTTTGAGACTAAAAAATGTTTCTGACATGTTAAATACATAAAGGGTCACTGAAGTTGAACCAACTAGTCCCACACCACCTATCCCTTTCTCTTGGCCATAGACATCTTGAAGGACATACTTTTGGCAAATATACCTGTATAGATGAAGGGATTCCAGATTATGCAGAAACTTTGTACCTGGAGAGTCATTTAACAGAGTTAGCATTTTTTCCTAGATCCATGAGAAAGAATGTATAGGATGTCCTCCTCCAGTTTCTAACCACTGAACTCTGAAAGCCAATATTAGAGTGTTAAAATAAGTCTGAAGAATCAAATGCTCAAGTTCCTAATCAGCTGTAAAATACACTGGATGACCTTTGTCCATTCACTTTCTCTCATTCTAAGCTACTTCACAGGATGGTTAGAAATATGAAATGGGGGTAAGCCATTTTAATTCCTTGTATGAAAGATGGGATATAATTGCTACTATTATAACTGTGAAGTGCACTGGACTGTCTGGGGACATATATGAGACCTCCAGTATGGAACTTTATTCATATGCAACCACTCTAGAGTGTGTTGGGGAGAAGGGAGAGGGCACCATTGGAGAGCTGACATTAATGAACCACCATTCCTATAGATTCTTTAAGGATTAGGTCAGTTTATGACATAATAGTCAAATGCCTTTATTGCTTAGCAGATTTTGGATGACACATCCTTCATCCTCTTCCAAGAGTGTGGGCATCTCTCTCTCTCTGTATGTGTAATTAATATTAAACAGGCACAAATAGGGCAGGACCATAGATCAGTAGAACAAATGCTTTTCATACAGAAAATCCCAGATACAATCTCCAGAATCACCAGACAGGTCTAGAAAAAATTGTCTGAAATTATTATTTATCATTCTGGCTTGTTCATGTGGCACATAACACATTCTTCAACCCATTCTCCCAGAATGATTTCTCTCTATATAAGTATTCTGTTTCCCCTTCTTCTAGGTGACCACTCTTCAGAAACCTCTAAGAAGGTTGCAAAATTCTTCTCAATAGCCGTCTGGTTCCTTCTTCACGCTATTAATTGGTAGCTGTTAATTATTATAGGGCTTTCTCACAATTTTAAAAATTTCTTTTTATAGTTATTGTATTGTATGCTGGTCTTTTACTGTGTTGGTCTTGGGCTGTAAATAAAACTGACGGATGCTCTATTTCTTCTCAGATGGTTTATAAGATAACTTGGGGGATGACTGCCATTTCCAAACATTGCCATTATGTACATTTCATTTTTGTGGTATTGTAATACATATCACAGGAGTGGGGTGGCCTCAGAATTATTGTTCTCCAATTTTTCTTTCAGCTTATTTTAGGACTGAGAATTCCTCATCACAATGGCCAGTTCCACATCTCTTTTCAATTCCCCTTCCTTTCTTGTGGAAAAGTTGATTCCAGGGCTCACTCTGCCTTCCTCCCTCTAGAGGAACAAAACATTGTTTCTTATTTTCAGGAAAAGGTCTAGGTTTTGCAGTGATCTTTAAAAATCATAATCCAGCTGTGTGGGGGACCGGTTTGCTTTTGTTACGATGCCATGAGAATATGAGTTGGGAATCTACTGTTTCTGAGCCCTCTTCTGGTTTCCTTAGCCAGAAAATCATTTCTTTGTAGGTCTCTATTATAGAATTTCAGATCCGCATTTGAGTAATAATAATGACCTACCATACAGAGCTGTTGTAGATATTACTGATGTAATATATGTATGAGACATATTGAACACAAAAAATAGATGTATAATGTTAATTAACATTGTATCCAATCATAGTTGAGCTTCCAATGCTTAGTTGCAAGATCTAACCACTGTAAACTCAAGGTATGATTTGCATATTAATCTCAGCCTATTTCCTGCTGAACTAGGAACTTGAGGAAGTGATGTCACAGATTAAAGATGTTTCAGTTGTGCTGGGGATTGACAACAACAGATACATGCCTGACCCCCACAGGATTGTAGAGGATGTGAGAGCTCAGTATGAAGATTTGGCTATCAGGAGCTGGGAAGAGTTGGAGGCACTCACCCGAAGCAAGGTATATATCCATGTTCCATTAAAAATTGTCCAAAGTGCTGCTGGTGGACCTCAATTATAACAAGTAGCCCTGAAAAGGAGAATAATTTACAGAGACTTGGTTCAGCCACAGCCCTCCACACCTAACTGAAGTAAATGCATGGCACGAAGGGATAGAAAATGGAGGCTGACAGAAAATACAACAATGAGATTCAACAAGGTCAAGAAAGAAATGAAAATTTGGTGTAAAAGAAATCTCCAGATTAAATAGAATAACGAGGCAAAGAACGAGAAAGGAGAAGAAAATAAGAGTATTCACAGGAATGCTGATGGGAAAGCAGAAAATAGATTAATATTCAGATAGGAAGGACTTAATTGTGCTGTTTTAGTCACAGATCTAAAGTTATGTCGTCTGTGCATGTTGAGCCTAGAGCTCCAGAGGTTTGGGGCAGAGATTTTTACTTGAATCGTGAATATGATCCTTGTAGATCACAAAGTAATGGTTTTGGGGGGTTTTGGCCTTACATTCCACGCTGTGGATGTTGGAGGAGGGAGGGGGCAGGAAGTATTTACAGTGTGTAATATTCTCTTAATTATTCCCTCCAGCTGAATGAAAGAGAAGTGTTATCTGCTAAGTATGGGGACCATCTCCTTAATGACCGGAGGGTGATTGCCGAGTTAAATATACAGATCCAAAAAATGAGGTCTTGCATTGTCTCTCTGAAAAGCCAGGTAAGAATGTGGTTGGTAGAAGACTGCAAAATCACAGTCCTTCCCAAACACATAGGAATACGCAAATGAAGCCTATATTCCTGGCAATAGTGTAGATACCGAAAACCTAAAAATAAAATAAACATGATTGAAATCTCATTATGTCATAAATTAGATGAGGTTTTGGTTATCTCATCTCATTTCGAAAGCCTTCATGCAAGAACACAGAAGTGTTCGTGATCACATGAGAATATGTTTGTTTGTTTGTTACCTTTGAGTCAGTGTTGACTCCTGGCATCTGCCTGGACCAGTCCCTGCAGTTTTTTTGGCAAAGTTTTCAGAAGTGGTTTGCCCTTGCCTCCTTCTTAGGGCTGAGAGAGAGGGACTGGCCTAAAGTCACCCGCTGGCAGGCCTAGAGCTCATGGTCTCCTGGCTTCTAGCCTGATGCCTTAACCATTATGCCAAACTGGTTCTCTTTTAGATGTATGTATGTATATATGTATATATGTATATGTATGTATGTTTAATTTGGGTTTGTATGGATCTCATTTATGCATGTTGAGGGTGCTACAATACCATAAGTGCCATGTTGCCTAAGCCAATGTACTTCTCAGTCTGGGAACCTCCACATATGATAACTATCAGTTCCAATCATCCCCAGCCAGATATGCTGGGACTGAGGAGAAATGTGGCATGTATGACAGAAATTATGAATACTTATATCTCAAAGAACAAAGGAGAGAAAAACGACTATTAGAGAAAATAAGTCCAGGAAGCTCAGATGGTCTTATTTGCCCCCTTACCTTTGTTAACTTTGTTAACTTGTGGTTGACTTTATGTAATATCTCATTAATGTGTTTCTGTTAGAAATACAAGTATATATGTTGTTCCTTTTCCTGTGTGGCTTAGTAGTATTCAAATGTGATGGTTATCCAAGCTAATAGGAAGACCTAGCAACAACCAAGCTATCCCTGTACATTAGAGCTGATAGGGTAATAAAGGGAAACTGCAAGTGGTGGCAATGAGCTGGTGAAGATACGTGAGCAGGCATTTCTCTATGATTCTCTGTCTTCTTGGAGACATGCCACAATTTATATCTGCTATTGAAAGGCACAAGGAATGCCAGCAATAAGATATTTCTGTGTCCTTCCTACGTCGACTTTTTATTTATTTCAAATGGGAAGAGGAAAGAAGAACAGGGAGCTTGAGAGAAACAGGTTTCCCTCACTTGTGGTCTTCTGTGTACTCAGTGTCTACAATTAGAGGATAACATCAAAAATGTTGGTCTACAAGGAGAAACAGCCCTCAACGACGCCAAAGCAAAACTGGCAAAATTGGAAGATGCCCTTCATAGTGCCAGGCAAGACTTGGCTCAGCTGGTTAAGGAATATCAAGAGCTGATGAACATCAAGCTGGCTTTGGACATTGAGATTCTCACTTACAGGAAACTAGTAGAAGGAGAAGAAAGCAGGTAAGACTGTTTATTTGAAGCTTCTGGATGTATAAACTGAAAAGAAAGCAGAGCTTAGATTAATTTTCCTCCAAAATATCTGTTCAAAATTCTTCTGGGAGATTGAATTTCCTTCAGAAATTATTTCAATATTCAAGCATCTGATGCCTATGGCATGTCATACCTGAAGGGTTTTTTTCAACATCAAAATTAAAAAATCAGGAAATCCAACAGTCTCATGGTGCTTGAATGTCAACATCTAAAGAAAAATGTTCGGAATGCAACTTTGCATTTCAAACATCAGATTCAGATTTTGAATAGGAAAATGGAAACATTCCGCAGGTTTTTAGTCCTTTTTGTTCTGAGAAGGCTGTAGTGTTCTTTGATATCGACACTACGATGTAGAGTTAGCAACTTCAGCCTGGAAAATGAAGGGACTGGGATTCCAGTTCCCGCATGTTCTAGCATTAGATACTGACACTACATACAGTTGATGTTCTGAATCTTAAAATCCTTGGTCACTAAATCAGAAGTCTGATGGCACTTTTTTCAACTACCATTTTTTATTAAAAGGCCTAAGTTTTGTGAGCTGCAGCTCCCTTCATCAAGTGATCAAATTTAATAAAATTAGTTAGAAAAGGTGCCACCATACACTTTCTGATTTTTTTAACCATAGACTAATACGGCTCTCCTACTGGTCAATTGAACTCACACTTCTGGAAGTCTGTTGTGAAGCATAACACTGAAGTCTAGGATTAGTTCAAAGCTTAATTCCAAAATGCAGATAAGACTTTTTTTCTCTAGCTGTCTGCATGGTTTCATAGCATCCAGACCTCCATGGTTGCATGTCTTCTACAGCATTGCTTCCATTCATAGTGTGGGCACCTGCATAATGTAAGCTGATCACCCAGCCTTCCAGCTCACATGGCAATCTAAGTAATAAAGAGTTCCTTCTATACAGATATCTATATATCTATATTCAAAGCATGAATATTAGAGTTTGTGTGGTGTTCGTGTGAAGAGAGGGCTTTGGAACTGCACATGTTTGGTAGCGGACCCTTAATACACTTAATAGATATTAACAAAGTATGTTATAGAGTCTTCTGGCTGCTTAGAATTCCAGAGATGCCTGTTCATTGGAAATATTCAAGAGTGCAAAAGGCTTTGTATTTGCTGTCACCTATTTTATAACTGCTAAAAAAAAAAGGAGGGGGAGCCAATGACAAACAGTCCTTTACATATATAGCTGCAACTCTTAAGGATAGATCGATGTGAGAGTCAGGGTTTTTTATCCTGAGGACACGTGGCAGCGAGCATCTGTTGTCCTAGAGGCTGTTTAGTTTTCCAGGATGGGAACCCTCAAAAGAACTTAGGAAGGACTCCTTATTTTTAAATTTTGCTTACATTGCTAAATTATTATTCTTCTGAACGCTTATATTTTACAGTAAAACTGAACTAATTTGTTGTTGTTGTCATTTTAATCACAGCATGGAGTCCCCACCACCTGCATTCATTAGCAAAATCTTCTCCAGACCAAAGTCCTGTAAGTTCGTTGTTTAATATTGCATTGAAATTATCATTTTTTTAAAAAAAAAATATGCATCCAACATTTGACGAAATCTCATTTGCTTTCCCAAATGCTGAAGAACTGAATGAGCCAAGATTATGCAAAGCTTATGGGATACAATATCAAAAACTCATGGAATACTCTTCACACTTATGCTAATTCAGGTGTATGAGTACTGAAAGCAAAAATAAAACAGAAAATGATAATTAAAAAAAGAAAGAAAAACCATGTGTTTTGTGTTTTTCCTTTGCAGTTTTACCCGACTCTGACATCACAAATGTCTCAGATGTGGCATCAAGAGCAAAAGATTTGACAAATGAAATGACGCAGAGTTGGAGCAGTTTGGAAACTGGACTTTCTAGAAGTCACAATGGTGGAAACAAAGTGGCATCCAGTAATGGTTCCTTTAGTAGTTGCAACAATAGAAGTGGAGGCACTCCAGATTGTAGCCTTTCTACCAGTTATATCAGCGAGGGCAGAGATATCTTTGAAAGTTCTAGTTATTCCCAAAGAGATAATTTAGGGAGTCCTTCCAGAAGTAGTAGCAATAGAAGCGGAAATTTTGCAGATGCTGAAGACACCATGGAAAGCAATAGCTCCAGAAGTTATAGTTACCGGATTGGGAGTAACAGAAGCCATAGTAAGAGAAGTGGTGATAACCTAGAAAGCAGCAGATATCCAAGTGGTGAAATCAGAGATATATCTGAGGGTAGCCTTTCTAGAACCCAAAGCAATGAAAGTGGAGCCTTGACTGAGACTGTATTTGCCAGAACCTACAGTGAGACAAGTGACAATATCCAAGAGGGCAACAATTCTGGAAGTCCAAGTCACACAAGTGCAGAATTTTTGTCATCCAAATTTTCCAGAACTCAAAGTGGGGAAAGCAATAATTCCTCTGGACCTAGATATCATAGTTCTAGAAAAGAAAGTGTTCCAGATGGTAACCAGTCTCAAAGCCAAGGCAACAGAGATGGAGAACTTACAGACAACACTTTTGCTAGAAGTCACAGTGGTGATAGCTCAGAAGGCAGCCTTTTTAGAAGTTACAGTGGGACTAGTGCATCCTATATAGAAGGTGACCTTTCTAGAAGCCAGAGTGATGAAAATGAATGCAGAAATATCCATGGAAATGAAGGATATGCTGAACCTATTGTTTCCGAAACCACCAGGGCTGAAGATGGTAGGGTCCCTGTAGGTGGCATTTCTGGAACTTACAGTGAGGCAAGCGGGGACATCTCAGAGGTCAGCCTATCTGAAAGCCAGAGTGATGAAACTGAATTTAGAGGCAGCCATGAAGAATTTGCTGGACCTGTACTTTGTAGAACAAGGAGTGCTGAAGATGGTGGAGTCCCTGTAGGTGGCATTTCTGAAAGCAGCAGCGAAGTCAGCAGAAATAGTTCATTGGGAGACCAGAATCAAAGCTCTACAGATACTGTCTTTCCTCAAGCCCATACTGAAGGTACACAGGAAGATAGCCTTAATAATTACCCCAGTAATACTAACACAGCCTTTGTAGAGGGTAGTGTTTCTAGGAGCCTTAGTGATGAGAGACAATCTGTCTCAAAGGGTAGTGGCTTTAAAACTCCAAGTATAAAAAGTACAACTTTAAGTGACAGTGTATTTGTGAGAACTCCTACTAGTGTAGATGAAGAGATGTGTGAGGAGTCAGTTTTAAAAATTCATAGTAGGGCAAGAGAAAGTTCTTTGGAAACTAATATTTCAGGAGATCCTAGCCCCAGAAGTGAAGAACTTTTACCATCTGATCTTTCAAGACTCCACAAAATGGAGAGTAGAGGTGTCTCAGATAACAACCCTAGCCTTCGTGGATGTGGGAGCAAAAGCAAATCAGAGAGTGGGTTTTCTAAAAACCAGAGCAACAGAAAAGGAGGCTTAACTGAAAGTGTTTTTGCCAGAGCTCATAGTGATCCAGCTAAGGGTGACTATTTTAGTAGCCAGAATGATGGAAGTGAAGGTTTTGTAAAAGCTGCCGTTTCTAGAATCAACAGAGGCATTTTGGAAGGTGGTTCCTCCGGAAGTCAAAGCAGCAGAAGAGAAGGATTTGCAGATACTGATCTTATGAAATATCAGAGTAAAGAAAGCAAAGGAAGTCATGAGGATACAAGTTTTCCAGATTATGGTGTCAGGTATGCAAGTGAGACAAACGAAGCTGTCTTACAGTCTGGTCTTTCCAGAATTGAATATGAACAAGCAGGCAGCTTTTCTAGAAATCGCAGTGAGCGTGGAAATCCTGTAGAGACTTCCACTCCTATTCAGCTTCACAGAAAAAATGAAGAGGCTACCGAACATAGCTTTTCTAGAAGCCATAGTGAAGAAAGTGGGAGCTTTAAAGCAGCTGACTTATTATCCAGAAGCTCCAGTCAAGAAAGCAGAGGTATTTCAGAGGCTACTATTTCTAGCAGCTGTGGCAAAGAAAATGAAAAATGCACAGAGGGCATGCTTTTTAGAAATTATAGTTACAGATGTGCAGTTACATCACATCCTAGAACTGAAAGTGCTGAGGCTGAAGATATTCCAGAAAGTGAGTTATACAGAAGTCCCAGTTCTGAAAGTGGAAGACTTTCATCACCTGGAATTTATAGAGGTCGAAGTGGTGAAAGAGAAGATGAGTCTGAAGTTGCCTTTTCTAGAAGCTACAGCAACAGAGATGAAGTTGCAATGAATAATCAGTGTATAAGCCATGATAATAGAAATGAGTGATGGGTCAGCCCCCTCAAATCCCATCACCTTGCCCTATGAGGGTTGCTCTGATGCGTATCACTACTTTCCTTCTAGTGAAATATGTTGTTATATCGCATCTGCCTACAAAGTAGGTGTCTCACAAACACATGAATAGGAATTGGATACCACTTCTAGAAGCTTCAGTTCATCTAAAGATTGATGGTTTGTGGATGGGAATCCATAAGAAGGTTTATATTACTAACGTAATAATTGGAAAACGGGACTCTGCAGGCTTGAAAATGCCAACACAACCTTCTTTGGCTATTATAATTTGTGAGTCACACTCAGAATGTTATTTAAGTCTTTTTAATGCTATATTCTGTGGTGAGGGGACTAATATTACAGTAACCGTACAGGCATTAATTACAACAAAATATAAGCCAACAGTATATAGTTTTTTAACCAGTATTATTTACTACATGTTGTTTGTTGTTCTCATTTTCCTTTTATTTACATATATTATCCCAAACTTTAAATATGCATTAAAGCAAATAATATGATACTCTGCAAGAAAGCTTATTGGGTGGAATCTAACTAGTATATTCCACTGCTGATCTTTTGGCTGATGTCAAGGATCCCTTTTTGAGTTGATCTGCTGAACTCTTAAAGGCAAAAGTTATTTTTTCATTTCCTTAGAAGGCCTTGGAGAACTTTAATGGACACCATCAAGCTTAGTGGAAACTCACTGGCCAGTTCTGGGAGGCCCTGTTTTTTGCTGAGTCTGCGATTAATCTGTTTGGTCTTGTTTTAAGACATTAGGCCAAGTGTCTGAAGGTGCCTTCAGACATATGCCTCAGCAGTCCATAGGTTGTTTCATTTGTGATATTCGCACACCTATGCAGATGGATAAGCACAAATCACATCAGCTCTTTCTGTAAATATCAGGTGGAGCTTTCATTAAAATGGGCTCTGAGGGTGGAAAGTTAACATGCAACAGTTCTCTAAATACTGCTCTGCTGATAACGCCCATACAGAACATCAGGTTTGGCCAATCCAGAGGCTTCATACATTGCCAGATCATTGTAGGATCCAATGTCATGCATCCTTTTGCCTTTGCTTGTCTGGTTTTAATCTCTGAGCAAAGACTCTCCAGGTTAAATCTTCATTCAAGACCTTGAATCTCTGATAGCAACTCACTTGCAGTGGCTGTAAACATGTTACTCAGAATGGATAGTAATATTAATAATAATTTTAACTCATAGTTTTTTATTGCAATTTGAATACAAAATAGGGATGGGAGGAAAAATGTGAAAAGTACATTGAAGCCAAGTCGAGTGAATGTTAGCCCAAATTCAGATCAAATTGTCTATCAAAACAGAACCATATTATGTTTATGCTAGCATGTGGTAATTTTGGGAACAAAGCAGCAGGTGGGTGAAAATTTCTCTATATTTATATAAACATAGACAGGAGTGGTGATGTATGTCTTTTCTTGTATTTTCTTTTCTTGTATTTCCAAACTATAGCCAGGGTTGTAAAACTGAAATTGGGTACTGACATTCAAAGATTAGGAATCTGGTGATCAGAGCTTAAAAATTGGATGAGAAATTACATCTTAGCCATGAACCAATTGGTTGAGCTGGTTGGAAGAAGTTGCATTCTTTCATCCTCTCACTCCTATCTGTAGCAGTAAAAATGTTAAGGGCCTGAGTCACAGGTCTGTTGTAAGATTGAATGAGATAAGGTATGGAAAATGCACTACTTCCAAAACAGAATTATTTATATTTAATCCCTGATGCCGCATTAGTATCATTTGTCTCTCCTTTCTCCTTCATCAATTAATCAGCCATTCATGATTTCTGTCATGAACAGGAATTATAACACCCTTTGGCCATATCAGAAAAGTCATTAAGAGCGAATTAAAATCTTTAAAACTGAAGTTGTCAGACCACATGCCCAATTCCACCCAGTTAGTGTAGTGTGTCCCAGTGCAGTGTAGCCAGTTAAATTAGGGGTACCTGGAGATAACTCGGGCTAAGAATAAATGAGGCAATGCATATTACTAAGCAAACATCATCAAAAGCAGGGCTAGAATCTGTGAAAAGGAGAAAGAACGTTTCAGTTGCTGAACAAAAGGGCTGAATAACTGGCTTCTTTTGCACTAGACCCTTTGTATTCTCCTAAAATAAATAAAATACATGTATAGTTCTGTACACATGATTAGTAATCAGAATATTTAACAGAATATTTAATCAGATGGAAACCATCTGAAGTCCAGTCGTGGTAGACAAGGTAGAAGAATCTCTCCCCGCAGACTCCTCCTGATTTTTTGCTACCATAGACTAATGGAGCTCTCCTCCTACAATCCCTGCAACCTTCTGATTGATGTCTTGGCTTCCCATGGTTTACTCTTCCTGTGTGCCACACAAGGGGATGCAGTTCCAGTGTGAGGTGTGCACAGAACTTTATCACGTGAGCTGTCCTAATATCACAGCTGAAGCTAGATCAAATGATAGGAAAGATTGATTACGTGCCATCAAGTAGTTTTCGACTCCTAGCAACCAACTGAATTCACTGTAACTTCTTCCTGAGCAAACAAGCAGTACAGAAACAAACTGAAGAAGGGGAAGAATGCTTCTGACACAGGTACAATGCAGGAAGAACACTTTATGCAACTTGTCACAGATTTTGAACCTGAAGTCATGGAGAAGCTGCATTGAGGAAGCAGAGAACCATGTGGAAAGTTATAACAGAGAAAGAAAAAAAGCCCCCCCCCCCCAAAAAAAGTTGGCTGATTGTCCTAATGATGATTATTTCACATTCCTTAATCTGTAAAGAAAACAGTAAACAA